ATGCAGGGCTGGCTGAGTGGCTCAGTTGGTTAAGAGCACAAGCTCTGAGCAACAGGGTCGCTGGTTCAATTCCCACATGGGCCAGTGAGCTGCGCCCAAGCTGAGCTGCCACTGAGCTGCCAACAGATGGCAGGATGGCTCAGCTGGTGAGAGCACATGCTCCTAACAAGGTTGCCAATTCGACTCCTGCATGGGATGGTGGGCTACGCCCACCAGCAACTAAGATTGAACATGGCACTTGGAGCTGAGCTGCCTTGACCTGCCGCCGATGAGCAGCCGGGTGGCGACTGGACTTGGAGCTGAGCCAGCTGCACCCTCCACAACTAAGACTGAAGGACAACAACTTGGCTGTTCCCCTTCCCCAATTCCCCAATAAAATCTTTTTAAAAAAATGAATTAATGCAAAAGATCTCCAAATCATGTTGTTAGGTGAGAAAGAAGTAAGAACAGTCTACTTAATATGCTACCTTTTATCTAAAAAGAGGGGGAGCATAAAAATCTATACTCACAATTATTCATATTTGCACTTAAAAAACCTCTGAAATGATACCCAAAGATTAAGAACAATGGTTGCCTATGATAGGGAGTGATGAGAGTGGAAACTGAGCAAATGGCAGACAAAAATACAAGAGGGCCTTTTCACTATATGCCTTTTCACTTTCTTTAGTTTTCTAACCATGAAAATGTATTTTTTAAGCAAACACTTACATAGCACTTAAAATGTGTTAGCCACTGTTGCAAGTCACTTAAAATTAGTAACTCATCATTATTCATTTATTAACATGTTTATAAAAATTTAATTTTAAAAGTAGCTCAGTGGGCCAGCCGAGTGGCGCGATGGTTAAGAGCTGGCTTGGGATGCCAGAGGGCCCCGGTTTAGATCCCACATATGAGGGCCAGTGACACTGCCCTCTACAGCTAAGATGCTGAACAACAGCTCAACCTGGAGCTGGGCTGCCGTGAGTCGCCGGCGATGGCGTAGGCTGCAGCCCCTGCTGCAGTGGGTTGCCATGGGCTACCGTATGTAGCCAGCAGCCAGTGTGAGCGGCCAGCAGCCGCAGTGAGCGGCCGTCCAGAAGCTGGCGACGGATCTGCCTCGCCCGGGAAGAGCGCAATGATGGTGCCAACTTGGGCCAGTGAAGCAACATCCTCCACAACTAGACTGAAGAACAAAAGGACAGCAACTTGTCTGTTCCCCTTCCCCAATTCCCCAGCACTGTTCCCCTCCCCCCAATTCCCCAATAAAAATCTTAAAAAAAAAAAGAAAAAGTAGCTCAGAAGTGTCATAATAGTATTGTGGTTATGCAGAAAAATATCTTTTTTCTTGCGAGATAATATGTGAATTTATTAGAGATGAAGTTTACATGTCTGCAACATTATCCCTAATAGTTTAGCAAAGAAAAACATCTGTGCCTGATTCATGAGTGTGTGTGGAGAATGAGAAAGAGAGGTAGGTGTAAAAAGATAAAGGAAATGTGCTCCCTCAAAAGGTAAATCTATGTGACGGGTATATGAGTAACCATAGACTTATTCATGCAACTGTTTTGTAGATTTAAAAATTCCCAAGGTAAACATTGGAGGGGAAAATGTATCTCAGAAAAGTCCTCAAACTTTAAAGAAAACATTTCTATTTAGTTTCTACAAACTCCATGGACTGGTTTTCAAATTCCCTTAGAATATATCTCAATTTATCTGTCTTGCCTCCTTATCCTTTTTCCTGAACCTTATGTTCTAACTAAACTGTATCTCATGTGACCAAATCTCAAAAACTGTCTCTTCGATGCCTTTTTGGAGTCTTCCAACATAATGTGATCTCTTAGCATTTTGAATATCTGTAGTACTTTTACTACTACTGAGATACTACATCATATTCTACATTTTGTTATAATCATTGCATATTTTTATTATGTAAAACAACAGAGATGATAATGCATACTAGATATGTATATTAGTATACTTACCTACTGGATAAACATTGTCTATAACGATAATTATAGGTTACAAGTTACTTCCGAAGAACTTGGAATTGCAAGAAAAAAGAAGTGTCTTCCGAGAACTAAGAGGCAAGATGAACGTACTTGTATGTGTAGTGGAAACGGCTGAGATGGGCAGTCTTTGGAAAGGGAGAGGCTACCAGCTCTCCCTTGCACAAGCTGCTCCCTCTACCTGAAACGCCCACCTCCCTTAACCCCTTCAGGTGTGGGTCCAGGGTTACATCATGAGGGAAGCCTTCTCTAACCTCCTTGCTAGGAGGGGCAAAGCTCCATTGCAGCATCTGGACCTCTTCTTAGATCTTATGATATATTTAACACTGGTATGTGTAATGAACTACTACTATCTGCATCCTTTACCAGAAGGAAAGGGGCCGTTACTGTTTTTGTTCACCAGTCACCCCAGCTAGGACTTTTTTGAATGAATAAAAAAAATAAAATGTTTTTTAGAGAAGGGGAGAGTTGGTAAACCTTAGAGGAAAAAGAGGCAAAGTGAGCATCCAAACACTCTCACAGGGAGAAAACAACTGTATTCAATAACTGGACCCTCTACGGACTTCTACAATCATACCGGGGGCGCCAAAAAAATGTATACACATGACTTGTATTCATCTTTTGTTATCGGTATATCTTATTACAATTTTAATAGTTTTTTCCTTTCTTAAAATGTGTATACATTTTTTGGCACCTTCTGTATATCTCATTTATACTACTCATATATACATATATAAAAATATATGGTTTTAAAAATTCTTCCCTTTCCTATCACTAATTATTACATTTTTCAAGGTGGGCAGGGTCTCTTTTTGCTTTTACTCATTTTTGTTTTCCCAAGAGTTTCTAATTTCCCTGAAATGACAAAATCAGGATGGTTTCTCTAGATTTACTAAGACCTTACCCACCTCCTCAACTTTTCTAAGAAAAAGTGGCTTTAAGTTCCCCATACAAAAATTATGTTTTCTTTTTCCCTAAAGAGTTGCTCTTAGGGGTAGACTTCCCCAAAGTGAGAGTTTCGTAAATGTTGGTTGGCTTCAGCGAGCCACTTTCAGGCCAATAATGACTTTTCAGTCTGTCATAGCCCAGGACAAAAGCAAAAGAAGAGATAAGGGGATCTTCTCAATAATCAGCTTACTCACTAAGAGATTCACGTTGGGCAGTATTTAGGGCTTTTTTTTTTTTTTTCCCTAAGGTTCTCGCCAGGAAGCGACCCCAGGTCCTCCAGTCACCTCCACAGCCCCACGACCTCAGCGCTGCCCACGCCCACTCTCGGGAAAAGCCCGCGCTCCGCCGGGCGGTTTGGGCGGTAGAAGTCACGTGGGCCTGCCTGGTCAATGGGGTGCGCGCACGAGCGATGGTCTCTTGCACTCGCGGTGGCGCGCCCTGATTGCTCCAAGCCGTGAGCGGGAGCGGGGGGCAGGGAAACCCGGGGCTCAGGGTACACTGCCCGGCGCCTCTTATTACCCTAGCCTTGGCGTTCTCGACACCGAAATAACACCACCATGC